TACGCGGAGGAGTTTATATATTAAATATCTCGGGAGGTCTCTTGATAATGGACGTCGGATCGTATTTGATTTTCTTGGATTTTCTGGACAGAATCCGAGCCTCGCTCTTTTTATGCATATTTTAGGATACTAGACACGCAGAGGAATTCCATGGCTTGGATGCATTGCGCAAGAGTTCAAAGAGGAAAGAAAATGCCAACGCCTGTGTTCGAACTGGCGTTTTGGCCTCAGCGCTTTGCCGCTGCACCACGGATATTTATGTTACGTAAGATTACGTCGGCACTAATTTTCTCATCGGCTTTGCGTTTTCATTCGAACTTTCACCATCATGTCGGCTTCTACTTCAAAAACAAAAAGCACAACTAAATCACGGTCAGTTGTAGGGGCCCCTTCCCAGCACAGCCAGTCTAGCCGCAAAGGCAAACGGGCATGGCGCAAAAATGTTAATATCGAAGACGTCGAAGAGGCCATGGAAGGAATGAGGGAGGAAGAAAGAGTGACAGGGTAGGTGTCCTATCTATCCCAGATCATGCCGGAAATTCCCATGATGATTTTTTGTGCAGTAAACCCCTACAAAAAACGAACGACAGCAACCTTTTCTTTGTCGATGTCACTGGCGATGACGAAAGTGAGTACCGCCAGGTCGTTTTGTGATTTCCTCTTTGTTTACGAATATGCATATAGTCCGAAAATCTATTCCAAAGTCACTCACATCACAAACAACTGCTGCGAAAATTCTTGCCCAGCGATCAGCTGTACCGGCTGTGTTTTCACGACCGACGTCTTCCGGAAAGAGAAAGGCCGCGGTGACAAGAGAGGCGAAGGAGCGGATGTTGCGTATTGCGAAGCGCCCGAGAAAGGGCCCTTTTAATAGCATCGTCGACCCTACGGAGTTTGGCGCAGGGAGTGCCATGATTGGTGTAACAGAGGCAGTGAAAAGCAGTGGACAATTCGATCCTTGGGCTACAGACTCGGAAAAGGAACCGGAGGTGCCGGAAGGGACCGAACGTCTCCAAAAGATGCCCGTGAAGGTTTGTTCATCCGCATTGTGGTATTACCTCAATTTAATATTTCACGACAGGCTCCAACGCATATACAGCCCCGAAAAGTTATTGAGGTCCCGGCAGTGGTTGAGCCTCATCTTGGAACCTCATACAATCCTCCAGCCGATGCCCATCGCGAGCTCCTTCTCAAAGCACATGAGATGGAGGAGAAGAGGATCTCAGAGGCCGAAAAGCTGACGGAGGTGAAAACCCGGATGGAGAAAGCAAGAGTGGACGTGGATGACAGCAGTAGCGGCGTGCCAGGAATGAAGGTCGACATCGCTAGTGTAGTCGAAGAGGAACAGGAGCCGGCAGAGAGCTTCAGTAAACCGGCACCAGAGAGGAAGACGAAACAACAGCGGAGAAAAGCCGCCAAGGTACTGGCCGAGGTTCGTCGCATGCGTATCCATGATTCCTCTTCGCCGTATTGATGTTACCCTTAGAAACGTGCACTAGCACACAGAGCTGCCAATAAACGTATGCTGTCTACAATTGACAAAGTCAAGGCTTTACGCAAGGAGGCGAAGATGAACAGCTCCAAGTACGATGCAGAGCGTCAACAGCGTCGGCTTTTAGCCGAAGCTAAGTTAAAGAAAGGACTGTCGGGGCAGAAACTAGGGAGGCATAAGGTGTCGGAGGGTGAAATAGACGTGCAACTGGGAGAAGACCTCAGCGAGAGTCTCAGAGCGCTCAAGGTGTGCATGTTCCGTCTCCGTACCTTCGTGCTCTGATTTTTTGTTTGCAGCCTGAAGGCAACCTGTTCAGGGATAGGTTCCTCAGTCTGCAACACCGAGGACGAATTGAACCTCGCGCGCTCGTGCTGTACGTAGTCTCTGGTTTTTCTCTGGCGCAGCGCTGACTTGGGCCGTTTTTAGACCTAAGAAACAGAGAACACGGACGGTCGAGTACGAGAAGCATGCGTGGAAGAAGTTCGATAGGCAGCAATGAGAGCCGTATGCTACGTCGTCTTGTGCCACACTTGAGTAGTACTGATTTAGGTCTGTAATATAGGTTAGTGATAAAATCGCGGATGAAATAAAGACACGATCGTGCTCGCGCTCCCGCACGCTTGATGCATATACGAACTCGTAAAATTTGCCACCCTAGAGACCCAGATGATCTAGGGTTGAATCAACTTAAAGTGCCGGTCAACCGTTGTTCGTGCCACTCTATAGGAACCTACATTGTCCAAAAACAACACCGAAGGCCATCATTGGCCCACGGTGCCCCAGCCACCTTGCCCTTTTCGACAATGTGCCAAACTTGACCAAAGGACGCTGGTTTACTTTTTACCTCCCCCCCATCGTTGGAGTGCGAGTTATCAAGCATCCCCCACTTGTACTAGGCATCCCACCTACGCCAATCGACGTTCCTTGTCATTTTCTGTTCATATTCTCTACACACTCCCTTCTCTTCATTTCTTCGCTCGTTTGCAGCATCCTCTATCATCCAACAACCAGAGTCAACGACGCCATCGGTGAAATTCCTTTTGGCGCGTTTCTTCGAGGAGATTCATTTGGATTTCTTGTCTGTTACTGTCCTCCCTCCCTTGACTTCTTCGTAAAACGAAGACCGCCCTCGCCGCCACCCGTGACCGAGAGACGACAGCGCCAGCGATACCTTTTGACATTCCTGCAGCATGGCGTCGAACCAGTCGTCTCCTCTATTTCTACCCTCTCCAGTGGCAGAGATATCCAGCTTCGATGACATCTCAGAACAGATCGACGGCCATATGGATTATCATCAGCCATACCACCGTCACCTTCTTTCGCCGATTCCAGAGGGCGGCAGTATCATCGACGACGAGTCATGCTATCGGCTCGATGACGAGTCATCGTTCAACATTGATTCACCGTGTTCGCCGCCTGACATTGATGGAAACACGGCATGTCCTTTCCCTCAAGAGAGACCGCATGTTCCTCCGCGAATAGACATCGTCGGCTGTCTGTGGCCTGTCACTCCCTTAACGGGGGCTACCACGTCTGTACCTATCGGATATCTCGAACGTTGTGGGCGAGCTTTACCGCCTCCAATAGTCAGACAACCCTCTGATGGAGCCTTTCTGTCACCGGCACTCCCATCCAAGGTATGCGTTCTGTCCTCTGTCTCTGCCACTGAAATATACTGAAGATTTTGGCAGCGTATCGTAGACTTTCCGTACGACTTTCCCATTGATCGCGCCCCTCAATCTGCCCCGCCTATGGGTAGGAGCGACTCAGAATCTAGCCGTAATAGCTCTAGCACCGACGAAGTGCATTCCGATAGCATACTGTCGACTGGACGCTGGAAGCGCTTATTTCGCAGTCGAAAATCGTCCAATGTCTCGGCGCCTCCATCCAGTCTTCCAGACTCCTCGCCCCCAGTCATATCAGAGTCTAGCACCCTTGAGTCCACAGAGTCACTAACCAACGACGAAAAGCAATCGTCGCTAGGCCGCAGCATGTTCAAGAAGTTGCCCAAAATGTTTGGTAATAATCCGGATTCGCCATCAACGAGCGAGGCCGAAAGCGCCGCCACCAAGGCGTCCCGGAAGTTTCCTGGATTTTTGAAGTTGAGCGCTGTGGGCTGGCCTGCAGACTCAGCGTCTGAGCATAGGTCGCAGCGCGCGCAGATCCCTCGCATGGCAGATGGTTCTTTTCCGCCCACTCCGCCATTGAGCGCTCATGACTTGGGCAAAGTTAACGCGTGGTATGCGCCAATGCCTATCCTGCCACTGACTCCTAGGCGGACACCGACGCCTAAACCGCCCGCGACACCTCAGCTTTCGACCTTTGGAAGTCCCTTATTTCCTGGTAGGAACCCCATATCCAACGTCGCGCCTACCTCTAAAACGATTCCGAACCACAAGTCTACCCCTTGTCTCCGAACGGCTCAGAGTCTCCATGCCGAATCCACCTCTGGCTCTAAATCTATGCACCCCTCGTCCACTCACTCGTCCGATTCTTCCAGATCCATACCCCCTCCCAAACCTGTTCCCACCTGCGAACTGCCTCCTACGCCAGTACCCGCCATAGTCCTCTCCCCAGCAGACAAACGCAATACCATATATTTCGTCATCGAACCCGAATGGGACCAAAACCCCGCCGCCGACGATGTGCCCTTCCAATTCGTGCCCAAAGAAACTATGCCTACGACCCAGTCGAGGATCTGCATGGATGTTTTCAATCACCGCATGTCGTTGCGGCCACGGTCCGTTTCCAATCCGGAGGTTCTGGCTGCTTCTGTGGCGACGAGTCTGGCGTCTGCCCTTGAAGAGGCTGGGTATTGAGTGCAAAGTTGTTTGTTCTAGGGATTTTCTTGTACTTACTTGTAATCGATGTGTATTAATAGAACCATGTTGTATCGAGTCGCCTATAGCTATCAGAGAATAGCAGTTTCAGTAATACATTGTATGCGTTACACTACTCCTGTTGTAATCCCTTTTCGAGTGATCCGGTTCTCAAGGTTGGCAAATAGTCCTCATGGCGATTGATGAATCCCGTCTGGCTAACTAACACATTTCTACAGATGCCGGTTTCTTGTATGTTTGCTCGTTGATTCCCCGGGCCTTGTGTTTTGGTTTTCCTCGAGTTGGCTTGACCGGGTTTGCGCTGAAGTGGCTTTTTACGAAGTGGCTCTGTAGCCAGTTTATCAATGTGATGGGATATTTCAATGTTTGGCCGTACCTACTACCACTCTCTGAACGGCATTAAATTACAGACTTTTCGTGAGCAGACTTGGTCAGCCTGAGGCAGGAGGTAGGGGACTTTTACTAGTGGTGCGAGCCAGTGTTGTATATGAGTTGATCCAATCTAAAGTGCATCTTTGGAACATCTCACCTGAGTCCGAATCCGGCAAACTCGACTGATCAGTGATCGACGATCATCTTTCTCCATCCCATTGGCACTTGCAAAGTCTGGTGTTTCGCTCGTTTAGAGGCACCCACATCGTATGTGGTATCATTTCACTCTTTCTCACGGCGAGATGGCCGAGCGGTCTAAGGCGCCAGACTAAGGAAGTGGTGATTGGCTGATCATCATACGACCAAATCAGTTTCTGATTAAGTAATCTGGTCTTTCGGGGCGTGGGTTCGAATCCCACTCTCGTCAAGATTTTTTTGCAACATCCGTTTTCTAGGGCTGCGCACGAAACCCCCAAGGGGGTTCGATACCTTTGTACCGACCCTCCCTGGGGGGTTTCTTACCGGTACGGTTATTTACCGTTTCTTACTGGTCACATGTCTATTCACGTGACCTCGGCAGGCCGATTTTTCGAAACTGAAGCCGGCGCTGCCCTGTCGCATCGTCGTAGCTCAAATTCTAATGAATTTTGTACTGATACCAATCAGCATTATCTGGCTACATCTTCAAACTCATCCAAGTCTATGATCTCTTCTCCCCAATCCAAAGTCAACCAGGTCCTGTAATTTATCGATGTTGATAAGGATTCTGTGGATGGACCTAGATCTCGAATTCATTTACATCTTCGAAACATCGTCGACAGCACTCAGGATCAATGCGCAAGTACAATTCCTCTAAGTGTTGCTGTATCTGCTGGTAGCTACAACATTTCATAATTTTCAGGTATAACATTGTTCTCTAAGGAATTGACAAGCTCGTTGTCGGAAAGAGGTGCCATGGTTTGACTCCTGCAAGTGTATTATAAAGTGAAACGAAATTTGGCAATAATGTCGTCACGTGGGTGGTAAGTTACCTAAACGAAATACCCTCCACCGACCTGTGGTATCTTACCGGTAAGAAACCAGTAACTTACCGGTCCGAAACCGGGGTGTATCAAAACTGGGGGTTTTGTGCGCAACCCTATTTAGCACTCCGGGCTAGGGCTGCGCACGAAACCTCCAATGAAACAGTCTTCGTACGCGGCAGGGGTGAAAATTGTCGGAAACGTCCAAAACAGGTTATAAGCGACCAACTCGGCGATAAGTAAGCAATAAGGTCCTTATCAGAGAATTTTTGCCATGATATGTCCATTTCGGGCTATTATTTTGACTTATCTGGCGAGCCTGTGCCTTATTATGGACATTATGGCCGCATTTCTTATAAGACGTGTCGGAGATTTCCGACACATTCTGAATGCTTTCTATAGCGTGGGTTCGAATCTCACCCCCATCATGATTTTTTTCACTATGCTCGATCTTATCATGTCGTTGCTGAGTCCCGACGCGTCATACACAGGATCGGTACGCGTAAATATCGCGACGTCTTCGCTCCCCGCCCTTGGTAAACCACACCATCTTCATGTCCCGCTGAGCAGAGAGCGATGATATCCCGACGATTGTGTAGACTTGGATATTCGAGGAAAGACGTGGATGATGGGGCTCCGCATCATAAGGATGACCTTCTTGTTAACCCCAGGGCGTATCATCGCCGCGTTTGGCCTCTGAGGTCGAATAATGTATCCACGGGTAGCCTGGTTGATGATTCTAGGGAAGCTTCGAGTATCTTGAAAATGCATTCTTGAGAGGAATACAACAAGGCTGAAGCCATACGTCGGAAGAGGGTGACGGTGAAGAGAGATGATAAAGGCGGTGATGTGATCAAAGAGCAAGCACGGCCCGGGTCCGGCGTCTAACACTCCTTTACTCCATCCATCACCATGGCACAGAAACTCGTTCAATTAATATATATCCATGGGTTTAGAGGTACTCAGTCTTCCCCTAGACATTCACAAACCTAATCCATACGTATTCCAGGCAATGATACCACTTTCCAGGTCCGTCCCACCCTGCCTCGGAACCCCGTAGTGTCATTCAGCACTGAAGCTGTGTAGTCATTCCCCGTCGACCTACAGGAATACCTCGCTGCTCGAATACCCCCAGAACTTAACATCTGTATCAAAAGCACTCTATACCCTACATACAAGAGCGTCAAGCCCATCTCGCACGCTACGAAGAACTTTCTCGAGTGGTGAACGCTTACTGCGCTTCCGATGCCGTTGAGCGCTAATTATCTGTGTTTACCCAGGTTAACAACACAACCCCCGGGGCCCGTGATCCTCCTGGGGCACTCCATGGGCGGCCTCCTAGCAGCCGAAGCAGCGACGCACATATCCAACAACCCCAACGGGTACACGCCGCACCGCATCTTTGCACTCATAGCCTTCGACACACCATACCTAGGCATGCACCCGCACGTTGTCGTAACCGGAATCGCCTCCCTCTTCGCCGATGACGGCCCGGAGAAGAAAACAGAAAGCGAGATGAACGCGCATCCGGACGTCCAAATCGTCGATAGTGAAGTTACGGACGGGTGGGAGACTTTCCGGAAGAACATACCTGGTAGGTCGCTGAGTCTATATGTTGCTCCGTCTTCCTCATACACTAGACGGACAGGCCGGACATCGTCCTCCTCCCTGTCGCTCTTCTCCGCCCAGTCATCCTCGTCCTCGCACTCCCGCTCGCCCTCGCCCTCGCTCCTCGACCACACAAAGAGCTTCCTCAACTCCCACGCCGACGACCCCCTCGTCCGCTGGGCTCGCAAACACTCCTCCGAACCCTTCACCGCGAGCAAACGCTGGCTCGTCGAGCACTTCCAGTTCGGCTCGTGCATGTTCGACCCCCCGGAGCTCAAAGCGCGGTACACCGCGCTCGTCAGGTGGAACGGCGGGCTGTGGGTGAACTATTGGACGCAGACGGTGCCGCAGCCGCGGGAGGACGGGTACGTAGACGAGGCGGACAACGACGCGGCGCTCCTCCAAACCGTGCCGGAGCTGGGTCCCCGCACGCCGTCAGAGACCAAGGCCGCAAAGAAAGACGAGGAGAAGCGAAGGAAGAAACTGAAGAAGCAGAAGGAGAAGGAGGCAAAGCAGGGTGGGGTCGCACGGCATTTCGTCGTTCTGCCGACAGGCCTGGGACAGATTCTTGGCGGCGGGGAGAAGTGGGAGAGCGTGCGGATCGAGGGGGTGAAGGACGAGGTGGGCGCGCATTGTGGGTTGTTTATACGCGGGCAGAATTTGGATTATGAGGGGCTTGTGGATAGGGTGAGTAAGAGGGTCGTGGGGTGGTGTTATACGTTGTAGCTTTAGTCGTTTGTGGAAAGGGTGGACTTGCAGGCTCGATATTAATGTATTTTAACGCGGTAACTTTTTTTTCTTTCTTTTTGGTGGAATAGCTATCTCCCGTTTCCGGAAGATTTGCGAGGAGCTAAAGACCGACACAGTCAGCTCCAGCCTCGCACTATTGTGTCGCAAGAGGGCTCTTGCTAGTCATGTTGATAATTCACCCCGGGGAAATGCATTACGCACGTAGTGTAGGACTCGGTACGACCATCTCTTCTTCTTCCTCCCCATACTTACCTTCCTTCAGATGGCCCTATACCTACTGAAACCCCGGCAGCTCCTGTCCAATTTCTTGGGAGCTGATTTTCGTCCTTTAGCACCCTTTTCCACCTTCGTTGAACTGTTTGTGGTTTCTGGGCTTTTCGTCAAATTCTTCGTTGTCATTAGACAGTCCATTTCCAGTCGATCATTCACCGCTTTGAGCTATGTTTTTTCCACCATCTCTGGCGGAAGATGCTCATTTTCTCGACTTGATACCCGCTTACATCGCAGGCTCCATGTTACTTGTATCGATGTTGACATTATTATTCGGTATAGTCGCTCTTTTCCGGTTTCTCTCTTGCCCTCCTTTGATTTGTTTCCGTGCGCCTTCATTTGATAGTCTGTCGGCTATCTCATTTCCTTGGTGGCCATTATGTCCTTTTATCCACCGGAAGCTCGTTTCTATTTTCCTGTTTCGCAAAGTCGCTATTGTCTCTTGTATCAGCTCTGCGTGTTGCGTGCCTATGTATCCTTCATCTTCTATTCTTTGCCTTGCTTTTGTCAGGATGGACATCACATATTTCGAGTCCGTCTCGTCCAACACATGTTTATCTTGCGGAGCTTTTTTGGCAAGTACCAGGGTGGTGAGCATTTCCCTGACTTGGTTTGTTTGTCTAAGACTAGTTGTTGAGGGCCATCACATTTGTGTGGCATTATCCAAGTCCTATGGTCTTAATTTTTATCACATCTAAGTTGCAGTATATACATGATATTGGAATTTAATCATATGTTATGGTATTATATATATTATGTTGTAGGTGTATGTCTGTATAACTACGTTTACATTTGAATGGTGTATATGTACAATTCAGGTATTTGATCATTAGGTCCATCAGCTAAATCAATTTCATGGATATTGCCTTCATACTTTGTATTACATTCCAGGGCCAATCCATCATGAAACCATGCATTATGTTTGTTATCTATATACCATGCAGTGAAATGAGTGTGTCCAAAATATATTATGCCTTGTAAATTATATCTCAATTTTTGACTGTGTATCTGAAGTTCAATATGGGGGTCTGCAGGTGTATTACTGGATGATACTAACACTGCTAGCAATGGTGGGGCAGATTCAAATAAGTATTTTTTGTAAACAGGTGCATAACAATATGTACATCTCTGTTTTAGTGTCTTGCTTGAGCTGACATCCAGGTACTCTTGAATAGTTTGCTGCTTTGATGTGTTGCCATTGTGAGAAGGTATGATAGAACAATTGAATGATTCAATTACACTAATATTGTGCAGATTAGAACATTCTACTATTAATTTGTTGAATATGGTTGAGCTTACAAATAGTTTGCTTACAATTGCTTCCACACTTGTGTTCTGCCCAAATACAAACACTACAGGGGTTATAGGTCAATCGGAGTAGGCAAAGTTTTTGTGCAATTTTCTAGTACTGTAATTAGCAATATAATGTTAATCCTATTTTATCTTTGATCAAGGTCAGATATGGCAAGAATATGCTGAGAAGATCAGCCCAAATATTTTAAACAATCTCAATATATCATGCTACTTTTAATTCTTTGTTAAATGTTCCATACCTTAGTATTTCATCTTCATTTTCAGTCTCTGATTGACCTATTGCCCCCATAGTGAAATACATTTGAATACATGTTACACAATTTACAATGGAAAAAATCTCTTACCTCTTCTAAAGTGTATTCATTTGTTGCATGCTTTTTAAATGAACATACAAGTAAACCCAGCCATTCTGTATTCAATTGTGTGAACAGAACAGAATACACATCTAGATTTGAACTCCATATATTAAATAATACAAACAATACAGCATCATATGCACAGCTATTATTATACCATTTACAACCCTTAGGTACAAGATTTTCTGTTATTACTGGTAATTCTGTATTATTATAAGGAGGTATATCTTGCAACTTGATAGGTTTCTGTATGTCTGAATTGCTGGTGGATGGAACCTCAATAGGATCAGAAACAGACATGTTTTCCTTAAATAAATAAGAACATACAGGCAAGAATATAATCAGTCATTGTAAGAATAATGGGAGACAACACAAAACACAACAGAAAGTGAACACATGTCATAGGAGATGGACAGGAAATCTGAACGGCCAAAAACAAAGGAACCGGAACAAATTTCACCCGATGGACGATTAATTCCGATCGGCCGAACAAAAACTCTAAGAAAAGTAAAGGATTCCCAGGATATTGATGAATCTTTTTCATTTTTCCCATGGTTGGGCTCATGCAGCAAGTTCAGCAATCACCGAAGGAATCAATTTAAGTGGCTGATCCTCTATAAGGACTGATTACCTATATACATAGGACTCGGAATTTGGTGGGACCCGTATTGCCATGTCAAGTTCTCCGTGGCCGCTGATTGTAAATCCGGTGCCTGCTGCTGCTGATTCGCTGCCATTCTCCAGGCATGTCCCATCTGTTGCTGCATGGATCGTCTGTGCGATTCCGCCATACTCTGTTTTATCTAGTACATTGTTGCAGACCTTCCTGCTTGTGAAACCCCTGAATATGTTGGCCAGGGGTCCTGCTATTGTTATCCTTTTATCGAAACTCATGATATTCTCCCCAGTGTCTATCATCTCTGCATCTTCGAAATCTTCTGGCTGCAAGTGCAACGGGTTCCATTTAGGTGGAAGAGTATCAATTAATTCTCTCGCCTTTAGCATGCAGCGGTGAGGTTTTTCGCAACCTACATTGTCTCTGAAAGCAATGCACCCAAAACACATGCAGTTGTTTGTCCACCTATGATTCGGTTCGTCGAGATATTCTGCTATATCCTGCATGTCTCCTACTGACATTGCTTCGTGTACTTGTTGCAGACATTGACTTGCCTGTGAGTTGTTCAGGTGTCGTAGTCTTCGATCTGCATCTCCATGTAGCCATATCAGCCAGCTCCGTATTATGTCTCTTGTAAAGGCTGGTCCTTCTGGTCTTACTCCAAAAGTTTCCGCTGCTTTCCACATGTCTCGTATTTGCTTTGGGAGGGGTATTCCTTTGCTTGGCTTCGTTGCCAAGTTTGGCTTCCATGACTGAAGGAAGGGGTTTTATTTTGATTAACCTGTCGATTCCTCTATCCTTTACCAGCGCTGCTCGAGCCATGAGGTCATCGATGAACCACGTCCAAGTTGGTCTGTTTTCAGACATGTTGAGGTATGTTTTTATTTCCATTACCTGGATTGCCTGGTTGCGTGCTTCAATGTCTAGGACATCCTGTTCTCCTTCCATGACTGGCAGTAGCAGCATCTCAAAGTTAACGCGGCAACTTGGAGACATACGACAAGTCCAGTCCCCTTTGAGGTTCTTGCCCAACCCAATTCAGGGCCAACTTTTCAGGACTCAGGATATCTCGACTTTCAAGTGAGTCCATCAAGTCTCGTTGCTCATTCGGTATTCTAGTGTTCGAACCAAAGGACAAAGTACAAAGTGAGTCATAAGGGTTGGAATCTGGAGTCTGGATTGAGTAAACTCTGGACATTGATAATCGGACAATGGAATCTCAGTGCTCATTGATCCTTGATCAAACTCGGAGTATCATCGAAGTCAACACTTAGCAGTCCAAAAAGATGATATCCGCATATGAGTGGACACTGTGGGAGTTGAACCCACGACCTCACGCATTCAATCCAAGATGCAAAGCGTGCGCGCTACCAACTGTGCCAAGAGCCCTCTTACCTCCGTACTTTAGCACCACAAGCGGTCCGGACCATCGGTAACCGTCGTAGCACTTGTACAATGATTGCTTATACTTTTACAAAAAAACGACAAACTACTGTGTCCGGCCTCCATACGTCTGATCCAATTTTCCAATCGTAGCGTGATGAGTACACCTCGCTTATTCGACCTGAATATAATCGCCCATGGAACTCTGATGCGACGACGATGCTCCCTTGGGGGGCTTGATGACTAGGTCCAGCTGCTGCCTGTAAGAAACGGCATCAGCCCCGGTCTAAAGGCAGTGAGGAGGTAGATTAGGATACTCACAGCTGCATCCTCAGTAGCAGTTTCCTATTTGCTGAATGCATATCATTCCCAGCCTTGATGGCACGCGCGAACAAATCCGCTCTATGGTCTACCTTTTTCACCTGTAAGATCTTCTCGCGACGTCAGTATCGAACGGGGAAGGCTAGCCTAAAAGATACCTTATTCTGACTATCCACCCTTCCTTGGATATCCCCTGATTGAATTAGAGTAACCACCTGGCTCTCAGTCTCGTCTACGCTCCACCCAAAAGCCTGGCTCATCCTATCGAGCCGAATAGACGAGAACGGCTGAAAGTACAGCACGACCGCGCGGTTCTTGATTGCGTTCATCAGAGCCCGCACATGCGACGTGAGGTGGATATCGATATAATGGCGCGTCTGAAAACACCACCAATCAGCACTCGACCACAACCCAAGGAGACAGGGACCCCCACCGAGTACCGCGAGAGGAGATCGAGCACGGTCTGGAACTTGCTGGCCATGTACGCCTCGATGAGCTCACGGAGGTACGGCTCCTGCTCGATGTACACGCCAAACGAGGGGTTGTCCAGCACACGCGCCTTGAACGCGCCGCGCGGGAGACTCGCCATCGCGCACACCGTCCCGTACACCGCGACATCGCTCGCGCTGACGAGCCGCCCCGCCCACTCGCCCAGGTCCCGCGTCGGGCCGAGCCGCAGGAGGCTGCACGCCGCCTTCTCGTAGTTGTCCTGGCCGAGGTACGACAGCGCCGTCGCGAGGTCGAGCTTGGACTGCACCCTGTCCCGCTCGGGGGTGGATTTCTTCCCGCTAGCGGAGACCATCGGTGCAGGGCCATCTTTGGCGGCAGAGGCGGCGGCGGTGGCGGCGTCCAGCGCGGCTTCGGCTTTGAAGACGTAGGTCGGGAGGTGCCCGTAGTTTCTCTGCTCGATGAGCAGCTCGAGGACGGAGAGGCACATGTCGAGGACGTGTTGGCTCGTGGTGCAGTATTCCCGGGACTTCGTGTAGTGCTTCAGCGACGTCGCGTACTCCCCGATGACTCGATAAAAGTCGCCCAGGTCGCGATGCGCCATCTGTCCTGCCCCGTGAGATAAAGAAATCGCAAAAGTCGATACGACGCACCCGGATGCTCTCCTTGATCATGTTATTCGAGTACGTCTTGAGCTCCGTCTCCAGCTTCACCCGATCCGACTGATTCCGAGCGAGCGTCTCGTCGATCCACCGCGTATTCAGCGGGGCGAACTCAGATATGGGCGGCAGTGACCCGTTGGCGTTCGCATGGGCCTGCTCGTACGCCGTCACGAGGCCCTGGTACTGCGACGGGTCGCGAGATTGGTGGATATGCTGGACGGCGAGCTGGAAAGCCTCCACGGCAAGCGTAGGGCACAGCTGGATGATATGGACGAGACGGTCCACGGCGGTGCGCCCAGAGTAGTTGGATATGTAGCCCTCGAGGTCAAAAGGGTGCGCGTCGTCGACCGGGACGGTGAATGAACGTTTCGGCTGCGAGGTGCTGGCCTGCGTGGTCTCTTCGGGTGCGTCGACGTCCATGTCGCTCTACTGCAAGTCAGACGGGGATGGAAGTGGTGATTGACTGAAACTGGAATTCTGGTCTATTTCAACGTGAGCAGGGTACTGATGGTAGATTGTTCATGGCGCGAAAACGGTATAAGGCAAGGGCACTTGGCACAGTTGGTAGCGCGCACGCTTCGCATCGATGACTGCGTGAGGTCGTGGGTTCAACTCCCACAGTGTCCATGAAAAATATGTTTGAGCCGGTTTTTGAACATCGAGCTTAATACTTGACTTCTCCTCTTATGATCTTCCTGATTTCTTTTTATTCCGCGCCGCACAGTGTGTAGGGCTGCACACGAAACCTCCAGGGGGGGGTTTGATACCGTTTTGTACCCACCCTACCTGGGAGGTTTCTTACCGGTCATGTGACCATTCATGTGACCACCACGGAGTCATTTTTCCAAATTCTTCTCTACGACACCGTGACGCTATGCTGCCCCATTGTCATACCTCAAATACTCATTAATTCCGTCTCAATACCCATCAGAACACTCTGGCTACATCTTCTTACTTATTACTGCTCTGTGAAGTGAAATCATAAAAAGATTGGTGGTAATATTGTCACGTGGTTGGTAAGTTACCTCAATGAAATATGCTCCACTGACCTGTGCCTAAGCTCCTGTCAAATCTCAAATCCAAATTGGGGGGGAAGAGAAAGGGCTCCTGTCTCTTGTGAGCAAGATTCCAGAGGGATGCAAACTTCCCAACTCAAACTCATAGTTTTACTATGAGTACAGTTGGATACCTCTGGAATCTGACTTCCCCCAGTGCGGTGATAATACTGATCTGTGAATTTGATAATATTACAAGGAACCAATACAAGAAAGAGAGTCTTTTAAAGAAGCGGCTTTGTCCATTGCATCACCTATAAATAGTGGAAGAATTTCTTCCACCTTCCTCCAGTACAACAAAAAGGCTTTTGACAACCATCATCCTTGTCTCATAACTATCCAGGGATCTACTCCAATAAGCAAGCAATGAGTGGTCCCTCCAATGCGAAAGCTATGGCCCCCGGCAGCATTGAGACCATCCATGGACCAAATTTTGGTACACCTTGCCAGAAAGACTTCCTTGGTTAGTGGTTGCCAGCCGTCTTTGGTGCGGTAAGCAAACAACAGGGCTGATAAAGGCAGGTTGGCGTTGATGTGAAGATGATTGCAGAAGGCAGCGAGAGGATCAGTATTATCGTTTGTCGAGGTCACAGAGATCCAGTCACCATGAGATTTTGTGGTCTTGGTGAAAGGAATAAAGAAATTCATCCATTTGTGACCGTTAGGGGCGATCCCAAAGGATCAAGGACAGCTGTGGTGAACATGTCGAGTGCAGTGATAGGGTTTAGACTTTGAGAAAATCAATTCTCCCAGTTGTGAACAGCTGTGCCATGCAAGATTGGTCACTGCCCAAATAGCAGCATTGCAAGGGTCTTCATTGTTGATATGGGACAGGAGGGAGGTGAGATGTTTTTCAGTGACCGGTAGATGGGGAGGATGGGAAGAAGGAGGGGTGCATGTGGCAGCACCTTGTTTTGTGCGTGACAAGATTCTCCCTCCATACCAATGAGCGCTCTGAATGTCATGCCTTAACTACGTATCAGTGACAAGAAATGGTGAACACAGGAAGGGATACCATAATGCCAGGCCTGACAACCAAGTGTCAATGGTGGAGGGTTGTACTTTGCCAGCACCCATTTCAGCAACAAAGAGTGCTAGAAGCGGTTCACTTGCAGGAATGCGCAAAGATTTAGGCACAGAGTAAGTGTCACAGAACTGCATGAACCTTAGAAGACCAGCACCATAATTTTTACATGTATCCTCAGTGACCGAGTTACTCATAACTTCTCGCCATTTATGAAGAACATGACTTGGTGCTATGGAGGACAGCCTCTGTTGCATGAAATCATGATAAGGAGATGTCCAATTGAGGACACATTCATTTGCGAGAACATGAGGATGGTGGGCAGATGGGATTATTTTGGAATCAGCATAGAGGCAAGGATAAAATTTGAGAGTCAGGAGAACTAGAACTGAGTCAGTAGATAAGACAGGGAAAGATAGGTGTGAGTGATGAGCATGATGGGATGAGGTAAAGGGAGCTTTGTGGCAGCTCCTGATTGCTGTACATGCAGGTCATGGCAGAACCTGTGGAGTCGAATGAGATTCACCTGCTTGTACAGCATGATCTGCTCATGCAGATCTGCAGGTTCGATGGAACCTAAACATTTTCAACCCACTCTTGGATCTCCTCCGGTAAGAGGAAATTGATCTGTAAATGAGAATCTTGAGAGCCCAGAGCACCACAAGAGATCAGGTCAGCAAGATTCTTCTCAGAGCAAATATACAAAGGTGCAAGAGCAAGATTTCAAGGTGTAAGAATGTGGGAAAGTCAGTGCAAGGAAGAATTTTGTTGAGGATTATGTGACTGCCCAATTTTATGGGCATCAATTACACCTGTATTATCACTTCTGACATCATAGACTGTGTCAGTCAGTGAGGTAGATGAGGCAATGTACAAGCTGGCAATCTCGATGGCTATGGTTTCACACCAACCTATGTCATGGCCATCGGAGTGCCATCCCAGGATCAATTTCCAGGCAGCCCAATGACTTCCAACCACTATCCCAATGCCCCACTCTGAGGTGTCGATCCATATATCCAAATCAATGTGTTGTTGAGCCAAAAGGGAATGTCCAGGACAAGGCTTCGACAAGCAAGCTGCCCACCACTCAAGATCCCTCCAAACAGAGTTAGGAGGATGATGGGCAACCCATTTGTTCGGGAAGTGGCCAACAAAGGCTGATAGAGCAGGAAGATAGGCCTTCCCAGGACGATAAACAAAGCAGATGTGTTGCAAAGTACCATGAAGAGAACTAGCTTCTGGATAGCAGATGGGGTGTGGGCAAAGCTGCAAGAAGGATGTGACCTTGGCTAAGTACTTCTCTCACTTCTTTTCTGATAGGTAGACCTGTTTAGCCACCAGGTCCCACATGAAACCAAGGTACAATGTGATAAACTGGAAGTCATGACCTTTCTCAGAAATGTCATGCCACATGATCCTGAGAGGCTTTGATATATCCAGGATTGTTTGAAGGTCGAAGGCATAAGAGTACTGGATGTCAACATGCTGATTTGAGTC